TAATAGTTTCCACGAATAATTACATATTGTGAATGTTGAGCTGTGCCAGTGTTTTCATGGTTTGTTGTAAGTGCCTCTGAAGATGGTTCCTTGGAACCGAAACATGTAAGGCAGATGAGATAATTAAGTGATCAAAATATATATTGTTGCACTTGACGGAAAATCTATTGACAATTAGTGATTGATAGTGTAACGGACCAAAATGAAACAATTCAAAATGCTAATTTCTGTGTTGAAATCCGTTGCCAGGAGACGACTTGTGAAGACGGAGAATCCTAGTGCGTGTGCAGCAGCGAACTGTAAATTGTGTAAATCAGCAATAGCGCTCTATTAATTGTAATTAAGAGAACCTGTGCCTGAGTGCCAATAAATCCAATCATCCGAACTAGAACCAAGTATTTTCATCACGCAATTCCCCCCGCATGTAACAATATTTTATGAAGCATACATATTGCGCAGCTCCTCATTATGCAGTTTTCTCTATCCTTGTATTAGTTCCTCTCCTTGAGATGGAACATTCTCTTCATCATGCTCTTCCCAAATCCCTTAGGGTGAGAAATCAGTGTAATAGTATTAACGATTATCCTACGGGCATTTAAATTCCGGTAAAGTTAGCCGTACGTAATATATTTAAATACCCGCGATTAGAAATCCGTAAAAACTGTAGTCACTTACTAAATTTGCTCCTATTTCTGCAATTTCTGTGATAAACGAACGAAATAAACGCTATTTTTTTTCTCTAAAGAATATAGAATCAGATATTGTAATTTACAGATTGTATAAAACATGTTAAAATTTTTGCACTGACTCCAAAGAAGAATTTTCCCAGTTTCTTGTTTCTGTGCAAGAATTCATACGTTCTGGATACCCCTGAATGCAAGTTGCTGATGACGACACTTGTGCAAGTCACGGTAACACCGGATGTTGAGTCTACGAGTTTATTGTTGGCTACTACTAGAATGTGGACAGTGGACGAATGATATAAAGTCACGTGTTGTATATAGAACTCTACTGAAACAATATGTGTCCTGTTCTTACAGAGTTCAAGGCTAGCATTCTTTATGCATGAGTTGCCGTACCGACACACAGCGTGCATCGTGGCTGGAAGCGTTCAGTCGAGTGTAAAATTTCAAACTTCGATCGTAACATGTGGTAGTGTCGTTTGGAATATTCTGACATATTTCAGCTCATCAATGACTTCGGTTGAGATTGCAGTACTGACTTCGCTGAGAGTTGCGTTACCAACAATTCTGAGAGTGACGTTGAATAAAGTGATGTCGAATATTACT